TAGCCAGTCCTTGCAGCTGATTGGCCTGGGTAAATCCCTCCCATTGACCTGCCAACAGCAACCAAGGCTCAACTACAAAGAGGTGGTTGTACACAGCCTACACAGAGAGTGCACCTTGAGTACACAGCTTGGGTGAACAGGAAGGCTGTGCCATTGGATCCTACTGGACACCTAATACACTAGGCCACTCTACCAAGAAAGAGCAGAGATGATCATGACCAGACTTAGAGGGAGGTGCCCATCACATCACCCACATCCTTAAGCCAAAACCCCATTACATGGCAGAGAGGTTGGGAAATAGAGTCCTCTCTATGCCAAGAAAGGAGACTCGTGCTTTCATTTATATATTTAGCCAGTGTCTGCCAGAAGAAAAAGAAACTTTTCTTCCCAGAGTAGCTACGCACACAGTAACATGTATTATAAAAGAATTCCGAGCTTCTGAGACAGATACTTGCATTCAGATCACTTCACACTTTTCTCCCAGAATGACGAGAGGGCATTTACTTTGTATTTCTGAAGAACTGTTCCAGGAGTTCTTCTCAAGAAGGGCCAGTTTCTGTACCAAAGGGGAATGAATCCAAGTCTCCCAACTTCTGGGAAGAATAAAATTGGTATAGTTTTCAAATCACTCCCACAGTCTCCCGGATTCCTTTTCCACTCTTTTCCCAAGGTTTCAAAACTTTTAAAGTCCAGTCTAAGCAAAGGCATGCAGCTTGTGCACCCTACTGTCTATCTGCACCTGCACCCACAGCACGAGGAGAAAAGCTGAATCCAGCATGATGACACAGAGCGCCCCCAAAATTTGCTCGGGATCTTTGTTGCTCTACAGCAGGATAAAGGGGCTCCTTGCCTAAGCAGCCGCATAGACTCATTGGATAGGTAGTGAGTGACAGTGACCAAGATGTGGATTTAAGAGCATACACTGTGTTGCATGACTTTAACAAGAGCATACACTGTGTTGCATGACCTTAGCACATTTTCTTACTAAGGGGACAGGGCACTCTCCTAGCTCTGCTGCATGTTCACTTTCTTATCTGCTAGTCTCCTTCTCTTCCAAACCTCTGATTAACATTCTGCCTCAGGGCCCCCTCCTGGACCAGCTTCTCCCGCCTGAGTTAGGGCTTTGGAAAAACTATGGATTAAGTTCTCCACCGTGCAATCAGCTCCTCCCAACCCTAATAGCTTTGGGCAATTCCAATAAATGTCCCCCCTCCCTCTTCTCGTTGCTCTTCCCTTCCTTTTTTTGTCAAATTATCTGGGTACTGTTTCCCTTCACAAGCAGTAATTAGGGTTTCCAGATATGGCAGTTAATTGCTAAACTTTTTTTCTCTTAACTTGCCTAAAAAGACAAAGAGGACACTTGCACTGTTATCAGTGAAAAGTGCTTTGTTGCCCTGGAAAATCAACTTAAACTGACCCTCTTGGGAAAGAGTCCACGAAAAACAAGACGGGAAAACAATGAATTCACAGAAGAGCTTGCTCCCACCCACTTGGAACAGAGTCCCTTTTACCAACCTGTTTGATCAGCTGGGGCGAAAGCATCCTCATTTCCATAACCTCCTTGCCCTGTGGGTTTCAAGGTGGCACCATTCCAGGGATGCAGTTTTTATGTGAGTGAAGGAGGCTAAAGGCCCACAAGTGCCCATCAGATACTCATTGGATATAGCTTCTCGAGATCGTCTGGGGATTTCTCCTTGTTTTCATCTCTTACAGTCTTGTGTGGAATGATCTAGTATTTGCAAATGGGTATGCCCTCTTTAACAATTCAATCACCAAATATTAAATTAATTTAGGAAATAGCTATGCATCATTTGTGTGCCTACTGCATATACATTCTCCTACTGGGTGCTGCAAGGATTAAGGAGACGGCCCTGCCTTGGAGAAGCAGACAGTCTGGTGAGAAGCAGCACTTAAACATGAAATCCTATTCCTAATAGACTGAACAAACAGGGAGCAGAGGTGGGGTCTTTTCTCAATGTCTTTATTCTATGTCACCTAAATATTGTGTTGAGGACATAAACCGATGATCAATAAATAGGTCTCACAGTGAATTTCCATAATTAAAACCCACAATGGTCACCAGCCAAATTTCAGAGGAAATAGGTTACCTTCTGTCCCTGAGGGGTCATATGATGGCCACCAACATTTTACCAGTAGGAAGTGAAAGAGGCTGAGAAGAATGATTCCTGTGGTTCAAATCAAAAGGACATTTGAGTAGGAAGAAAGGATGAGTCAGCACTGAAATTAGCCTTCATACTATAGATATTGCTTATTGCGGAAAAGAATGTTTCACTTCCGAAAAAACAAGTGGTTAGAATCTTTGAATACTTATTGCAAAATTGTTTTTGAGTGAATTCACACCCTTAATGGTTTCCTCTCCAAAATGGAGCTCATCAATTAAGCAGGTGTCAACTCGCTTATGGTTCTCAGAGCTGGGATTGGACCACAGAGAAGGAAATAAAAGGCCCTTGGAGGCACTTGCCATCTCTTCTGCATCTAGAATCTGTCTCAAAACCTTGTCCACATTTACTAATTGTCTCTAAACTTGTATCTCTTCTAAAGAACAACCCAGCTGGTTAAAACCAAATTAGTACAGCACTGTCTCTTGGACATTTAAAAATATGTAAAGAGAAATAATCACTGTTCTCATGGTAATTTCAAATGGCAATTTCTCTATTATATAGTTTTTAATAGTGATAGTTTTTTTTTGTAAAATGTTTTTTTTTAAGGCAAAAACACTCAGCTGCTCAGTGAGGCAGAGTTAAAATATTCCGTAAAAACAGCACTTACAAAACCGGCAGAGCCCCCGGGCTACCAATTTATGAACATACAACTAGTCGTACAAGACAGGTGTATTGTCACAGATTCGTGGCCCAGAAAAGGATTTTATTATTTCTTATTTTTAACAATAAACACTTCATGACAAATCATTTTTATAATAAGTGAATAGGGGAATAAAAAGGGTCCACAGCAGAATCAAATATTGGATTTCCCTGGGGTTTTCACTAGCTTTCTCCCACAGCTGCTGGGCACATCATTTCTCCTCCATGCACATTTTATAAAGCGGGGTCTGGGTTTCTTGGCTGTACCTGCAAGATTTGTTAATCAAATGAATTCTGTTCTAGCAAGGGTATAGAGCGAGCCTAGGGCAGCACGGCCTCTGGGGATAGACTCCGTCAGGGGCAGATGTCTCCCTTGTTTGGGTATTTTTTTTTCCTGGTTGAAACTCTATGCTGAAATTTTAGCTTCTTTTACCGAAATCCTGAGATACCACTGTCGTAGATAAGTATAGTTTAATATGGATTAGTGTATGACAGGGAGGAACCTAGCAAGGCCCATTTTATCAAAATCTTCTCAGTATCCCATTGTTTCAAAATGGTCCAACAAGCACTTGTTTACTAAACATTAACTCTTTTCATCTCCCTGGGAATTGTTTGCCTGCCCCTTGAAGTCCCAAACCACAACCCTCACTCCCTCCTACTTAGCTCAAAATAGCTGAAAAGCCTTGACTGCCAGATTTTTCCGGGTTTCATATTCATAAGTAACCCCCATATATACACATGCAATAAATCTGGTTATTTTCTCCTGCTAATCTGTCTCATGTCAATTTAATTTTTAGACCAGCCAGAAGAAGAGAGAAGGATAAAAGAAAAATAATTTTTCCTCCCCTTACAAGGCCTACGGCATTTGATACCTTCCTGGGAATCAGGTAGGGTGCTGCACTCATTAACCTTCATTCTTGTTTTAAGTACCGTAGTGTGAGTCCTCAGGGAAAAGTCAGGGTGGGCATTACACAAACCACCTTGCGACTCCACTCACTGCCATGCAAACACATTCATGGATGAGCGTGAGTGCCTGGATGTGGCAGATGTGTATGTTTTATGTATGAGTGTGTGTGGAAAGTGTATGAATTCACACGAATATGTATTCATATGTTTGTGAGTTTTTGTCTATGAGTATATACTTGTGTGTATTTTTAAAAAAATATTGTATTCATTTATTTTTAGAGAGAGGGGAAGGGAGGGAGAAAGAGAGGGAGAGAAACATCAGTGTGTGGTTGCCTCTCACTCAGCCCCTGCTGGAGACCTGGCCTGCAACCCAGGCATGTGCCCTGACTGGGAAATGAACCTCTGACCGTTTGGTTCACAGGCCAGCGCTCAATCCACTGAGCCACACCAGCCAGGGCTTGTGTGCATTTTTGAGCAAATGTTTGTGTATCTGTGCCCAGGTGTGTATGTGTGTTTATGTTTATTGTGTTTGTATATGATTATTTGCCTGAGTGTGTGTTTGCCCATGTGAGTGTGCATGACTGTGTGAACAAAAATGTGTATTGGTGTGTATTTGTGTGTACTTTGTATGAGTTATGTTTGGGTGTGTTGAGTGTGAATGTGTGTCTCTGTCCATTTTGTGTGCATGTTTGAATTCGGGTGTGTGTATGAGAGTATGGTTTTTGTGTGTAAATGTGTGTTTGGATAAGCATATCCGTGTGTGAGTGTGTAGTTGCCTGTGCAAGTGTGTATTGTATATGAGTTTATATTTTTGTGTGTAGGAGTGCACTTTGTGGTTGTATTTGTATATATGTGAATGCATACTTTTCTGTGCAGGTATTGAGTTTTTTTTGCGAATGTGAATATTTGTGAATATATGTGTTGTGACTAGTTGTGTGTATTGTTTGTGTGAGCGTTGTATGTGTAATTGTGCAAACGCAAGCATTTGTGCGTTGTGACTGCGCAGTGTGTGCGCATCTCTGTGTATGTGAGTATATATATTTGTGTGTGTGTGTGCCAGCGTGCGTGGGAGCGGGTGTGTGCTGTCCCCACGCGCCTCCACCTCCCCTCGATCCGCCCCACTGGCGCGGGCGCAGAGGCAGCGGCCGGAGCTGGGCGGACGAGGGAGGGACACAAGCCGGGGTGAGCAAGCTGCACCGTCACAGTCGCTGTGCCGACTTTGCCCTTTAAGTCGGTTTCCAAGCCGATTACAGCTGATCTCCCACGTGACGTTTTACCTTCTGTCTCCCGGAGCTAGTTGCCCGAGGACAGTCCTGCTCAGGCTGCCACGCGTCGCGCCTCCCCAGCCCGCGGCGGTGTCTCCGGCTCCCGCAACTTTGGGCGAAGCAGCCGGAGGCTCTAGGGTGCCCTCGCTGAGCCATTCTCCGCACGGGCGTCTGGGGCTCCAGGAGCTTAGCTTCGCTAGGAAACGGGCGGTGTCGGAGAAAGCGCCTGGACGCAGCCGGGCGCCCCTCGGACCTGCGCGTCCGGGAGGCCGGCGGGGGTGCCCTGTGCGAAGCAGCAGGAAAGGGGGCGCCCTTTGCCAGCCTGGACCCAAGCGGGCGGGCACGCCCTGGGGGGAGACGGCCAGGAGATGGCCGCGAGACAGGGGTGAGTCCCCCGCGTCCTCACCATGCAGAAGAGCGTGCGCTACAACGAGGGGCACGCCCTCTACCTGGCCTTCCTGGCCCGCAAGGAGGGCACCAAGCGCGGCTTCCTGAGCAAGAAGGCAGCAGAGGCAAGCCGCTGGCACGAGAAGTGGTTCGCCCTCTACCAGAATGTGCTCTTCTACTTCGAGGGCGAGCAGAGCAGCCGCCCGGCGGGCATGTACCTCTTGGAGGGCTGCAGCTGCGAAAGGGCGCCCGCGCCGCCCAGGGCCGGGGCCGGGCCGGGCGGGGCCCGGGACGCGCTGGACAAGCAGGTACCGTGCGCCCTCCTTTCCCAGTCTTCCATCCTCCGGCCGCCGCACTCGCTAACTCTTCTAACCCCAGAGGTCTAGGGCTTGACGGAACACGAAGTCCATGCTCCAGACCTGAGGTTCCCTTGTGGCCTTAATGGCAAGATATCTTCGCGCGCTTCCCCATCGACATCCCTCCTTCTCCCCCGCGCCGTGCAATCGCTGGGGAAGGGCGCATGGCTTGACCCTGACAGCGGTCGGGGCTTTTCAGCTTCATTACCAACCACCCTTTGCTTCTCGAGACTTTCGGGAAGGCTTTAGCGTGGTGACGGGTGTTAACACCTGTTGAATTTAGAACCGCAAGACCGAACTAACTTATTTGGGAAAGTTAGGTTTCTCCCTTACCCGGCTGGTGCGGTAGGTTCTTTGCCTGCAGTAGTTTGATCGCTGGCTATGCCAGGAACAAACGGAGCTCCCAGGACAGACAGTCACTTTCTGTTGTCCATTTTCAACCTGTCTTTGTGGATTATGTCAGTTTACCTTGCTAACATTTGACCTGCTGTGTCTAATTACGAAGGGGAATGTGTATCTAGTTCCCTCAGGATTAGTATTTGGTACCACATTTTTGCTATGTTTAAACGTGTGGGTGTTTCAAAAGACCGTTTCACTGTTGTACTTTTAAATGAGTGCTTTGAAAACGAATGTGACCTTTTTATTCTGGGTCATAATTTTATTAGTTTTGCTACTCAGGGAGGAAAAAAACCCTCTACATGTAGTAACTCTCACGCCTCATTCCTGCAAATGCGAAATTTGTATTTTTTTCAATTACCATTTGGTTATTAAAGTTAAAGCAGACTAATTTTATGCTCCCAAATTCTTACTTTGCTTCTAGATCTCCACCTTGGGGGAGAAAAGAGGCTGATTGTCTCTGCTGTTGCATAAAAATATTTCGCAGCCGAATTTTCCGTGCAAGTCAGACTAAACAGCTTCTACTGCAAACCAGCGAGGGTGGCTGTGGGAGGCGCTAGCGGTGGGATGATGAGTAAGATGCCTACCTAACCCCTTGATGCTCTTGTAAGGATGTGTAAAATTAAGAGTTTACACTAGATAGACCAGAAGTTCCATTTTTTTCACTTTGGTTTCACTATAAATCATGAACAGACTTAACTAATTTGACTTGTTACAACGCTTATAAATCTGAAATTTTAAAAACTTGCCCTTTGGTTTTAAGAGTGTATTGTGGGCATTTGAAAAGCCAATTTCCAGTTTTGTAGATATGGTTACCGGAAATATGAGTTTAAATTTCAAGACATGCATTGCAGGATTTAAGTGGAGAGCAGGAGAAGGGTTTTGAGGAAACAGATTTTTTTTTCTTTTTTTTTTTTTTCTTACTGGTGAGATTTATTTAAAGGTTCCAAGGCCCCAGGAGCCAAAACTAAAAGTCCTTGAAGTGTTGTTATATCTAAAATAAAATAGGGTCCTTTACATTACTCTGAATATATATCATTGACTTAATTTCAAATTATGTTTTCTCCTTGTATTTATGCCAATATCAGGAGAAAACCACTTTTATTTATTTCTCTTATCTGGGGATGGGGAGTTGTTTCTTGTTGCAACTTGTATGGCTGTCTTTTAGTTACTATTATATGAAAACCAACTTTTTTCTACTTGAAAATACCTGAATTCTCATCTGAACTCTCATCTTCAGGACAGTTTTCTTCACTCTGCACTTTGACAAAGAAACATAAACATACTCCAGATTGTGTGACTTTTATGCCACTTTCTGATGGCAGTCCTAAACAGGTCAGCTGAAGAAAAAAATTTCTCTGTTTATCACACAAGTTATGAGTACTTCTCAATCATTTTCTACTCTTTAAAAGGTTAGAAATGAGAACCTTTGGTGTTCGTAGAAACACTGAGATGAAGAGGACAAGCCATACAAATGGATTAGGAGTTGAATTGGGAAATCTGTAATTTTGTCTTCTCTTAGGCATGCTTCTGTGACTTGGGTTAGTTTAGCAGATTGGTGCTTTTCTCTACCACTGCCTCTCTGGGTGTGTTTGAAGAATTAAAATGAAACTGTGACGATAAGAAAGAAGAATCTACCTTAAATCTACAGTTTGAGCAGTTGGTTCCCTGTCAGTTGACTTGCGTTGCTCATGTGCTCACTCCATCTCAGCACCTAGACTGCGGGACCTTATGAAACCGGGAGGTAGAGGGCCGATGTAAGGCACCGAGCGGGGACCATCCTTAGGCCCACTTTCCCCAGAATGCTTCTGAAGCTTTCCACGTAATATCTCCATTGCTCTCATAAACATAGGTGAAGGTTTGGGCTTAAAATGGGACTTAGGGAGGCAGAGTGGGTTTCCTCCACCAGGTTTCTATGCGACTTCTTTAGGCAAATTTCTTAATATTGTCTCTTTTTTTCCCTTCTGTTAATGAGCTCTGTTTCTTCATATGTAAAAATTAAGGGTTTGGCTAAGATGGTTTCCAAGTTGCTTTCTAATAATGACATCTGTTTCCAAGTTTATAACAGACAGGGTAAGCTTTTTGGCTGTGTAGAGGATGCAAGTTTAAATTCTATTCTTTCAAATAATTTTTAAGTTCTAATTAATTGTGTTTTTAAGTAAGTTATAGGAAAAAGCACTCATTGATTTGATTCATCTAATAACTCAGAGTTAACTGACAAAAGAAAAATTATTATTTTTTTGAACTGCTTTGTCTTAAACTGTTTCCATTCAAGAAGAAAAATAAAAGGTGCTTTTCACTTTCCAAATGTGCCTGAGTTGAAGGAATGTTTGGATTGCCCCATTTTTTCCCATAGTGTCCCCAGATGTCACTTCGGTATGTCATTGGGAGACTGTAAGGCTCTCTTGTCAGCCTTCCTTGGTGGCTACTTCTTAGTGATAGTTAGGGTGATGTAGTCAAAATGAGTTTAGTTAACAACATTTTAAGTGGTGTTCCTTTTCTCAAAAATGTGTGTTGTTGGTCCTTCTTTCTAAGAGTGCTCCATTTATGGAGAATGAAAAACTTCCCTTTCATTCCAGGTGAAGGTATTTAAGAAAGGAGGGAATTCACATTTAGTAAGTACTTTCTTTGTGCCAGGCTCGGTATTATCCTCCAGTATCCCATTTAATTTGAACTTCCCTTTCAGTTCTTGGAGGTTGGTAGTATTTTTTTTTCTTCACTTTTACCTATGCTAACACTGAGGTTCACAGATTTCTTGGGAGATAATCAAAATCTTACTGAAGACCGATAGGAAGACTGAGTAACCTTGAAGATTGCCTTGCTAAAGAGACCATTTAAATCCACTGACATTCAGATATCTCAGATCTGGGTGGGAGGGGGCTTGGGGTTGTAGTAGGTGAATCACTTTTTTGTTTATTCTTATTTTCCTTTTGAAAACTATTTGAAGGGCAGTTGTATTCTTGAGAAATACAATAGTAGACCACTACATTTTCAAAGAAAAATGGGACTTATGCTTAAATGTACAAGTTTACACGGCAGGCATTCGTTTACTTCTTTAGGGACCTTTAACAATATTTGCCCATAGGGTGACAGTGCACGACTGTCAATCTGTTTCGGTGGCGCTGTCTGTCTTGTCTGCTAGCAGGAGAGATGGACAAGAACAAAGCTATCTTTATTCCTAGTTTTTGGGTAATGTTAAGTGTCTCTTCAGTTTGATTTCAGTTGTTGTTTTGGGGGGAATTATCTCATTAGTTCTGGAGGTTTAAAGTAGTAGATACTTATCATGTTTGTGCTGAATTAAACATGTTGATTTAATTTTAGAGGGATTAAAGGCTCTGTGATTTCCCCCTGTCACTGTATTACAAGCCAGTCACTTAAACCTTCCTCCCTAGACCACAAGCAGAGGATTTTAATCATTTTATCGAATTAGGCAGAGCACGCTAACCCTGAAATATTGGTGGAGAGTGGGGAATGTGGTTTTTCATTCTCGTTCACGTTGTTCAGTTGATAACAACTCAATATTTTCTTTTCAACCATAGCAATGGTTGAGCAAATAAAAGTGTAATAAAATATTTGCTAAATCTTATAAATAAAAAGTTTGAAAATATAATTTAGAGAAGAAAGTGATTTATTACTGGAACTTAGTAACCATGCTTGCATTTAAACTTAAATGAAGAAAAATAATTTATGGATTAGCAAAATTTAGTTATTTTAATTTTGGCTACAGTAAACATTATTATTTATATTATTGTGTTTATTACAAATTTAACATAGAAAAATCCATCTTTGATGTACAGATGTACATAAAAACACATTTTTATTGTGATAAGTATTTTCTGTGGGTTTTAACAAGTGAGAGCTAAATGCACTGTTAAATGATGGGAACTATTTGTAATGTTATAACATAATCTTTCCAACTTTCAAGAATTAAAAGATAGAGATATATTCTTTTTATTGGGTAATGATATGTCCTAAAGCAAATATGGTAACCTAGTGTTTCTGGTTTTAGTAAGCCAGTGCTAATAGTTTATTTTTTTAAATTTAATTTTATTTTACTAATAGTTTCTTATAACAATTGTTGATACTGCACTGCCTTGCTTAAAGCAGATTATATTTTAAATTTGATTTTGTACATATTTTCCAATAAATTTGCCTTCTACTGTCAATATAATTTTAATTTTGTGGAATACAAAAACTTAGTCTTTAAGATTATTTTGTGATGAGATAAGCCAGATTGGTAAAACATATGCGTACACTCAGGTCTTATGTGCACGGCTCATGGATGCAGATGAGCAGGAGGGGACTGACTGTGGGAGTGAGGGGTGGGGTGGGTGGAGGGGGACAAAGGGGGGAAAATTGGGACAACTGTAATAGCATAAAAAATAAAATACTTAAAAGGAAAAAATCCCTAATTTTCAAATTTTAAAGTAGCTTTGTGTTTTTATGCCTGCTCACTTTTTTCTGTAAGAAAGATAAATGTGTCTGTTTACTGAGTTTATCTTCTATCATTAAACCTTAAATATTTATTATGCAATTCTGTATGGTGGAATATGTAG